GTTTTAAATCTGTTTGCATAATTTTAAGGTTAACTGTATTTTAAAACAATCTCAGAATTTTTCTAATCAGAGTAAAAAGGACTATTCATTGGGTCAGAGAAGCTCTCAAGCTAGCCCTTAACCATCCAATTTTAGTTTAGCAAGAGAAGTTCAATCCTTATCACTTAGGTGGTAGATGTTCTTGACTTTAATCTCCCATTTGTTAAGTAGCCTAGAATTATGATGCTTTAATTTTCTGAACTGGAAACCAATAAAAACAATGGTATCAAAATGTTCATTTAGAGTATGGGGGGAGGGAACTTCCTTCAAAGTCTATTATAGTGAAGGCAAAGATAAACAGCTGGGACTATATCAAATTAAAGAGCTTTTGCACAGCAAAAGAGACAATAACAAAAACAAAGAGAAACCCCACCAACTGGGAGAACATTTTTGCACCCAACACTAATGATAAAGGACTGATCACAAAAATCTGCAAAGAGCTGATGAGACTCAACAACAACAAAGAAAATAATCCAGTCAAAAAATGGGCAGAAGAGCTTAAAAGAAACTTCTCTGAAGAGGAAATGCAAATGGCCAACAGGCATATGAAAAAATGTTCAACATCACTTGTCATCAGGGAAATGCAAATCAAAACTACCATGAGATACCATCTTACACCAGTGAGAATGGCACATATTAAAAAAACTAGCAACAACAAATGTTGGCGAGGGTGTGGAGAAAAAGGAACTCTTCTGCACTGTTGGTGGGAGTGCAAACTGGTCCAACCACTGTGGAAAGCTGTGTGGAGATTTCTGGACCTACTAAACATAGAGCTTCCATATGACCCAGCAATTCCACTCCTAGGTATTTACCCAAAGGACACAGAAACATCAATTCCAAAGAACACCTGCACCCCTATGTTTATAGCAGCACTGTTTACAATAGCTAAGCTTTGGAAACAACCCAAATGCCCAAAAATAGATGACTGGATCAAGAAGATGTGGTACATATATACCATGGAATATTACTCAGCATTCAAAAAAGATAAACACATGCAATTTGCTGCAACATGGATGGCGCTGGAAGGGATCATGCTCAGCGAAATAAGCCAAAAAGAAAAAGAAAAATACCGGATGGTCTCACTCATAGCAGGAATCTAGAAAACTTAAATAATGGACCAGGAAAATGAAAAACTATAAGAAAGTGAAAATCAAAATCAACAAAAAACTATGAACCAGAGACACTTTTAGGGGGGCGGGGGCGGGAGGGGAGGGATTGGGGTCAGAATGGGGGGCGGCAATTGTATGGGGAATATAACAATAAAATTTATAAAAAAAAAAAAAAAAAAAAAAAGACCTAATGTAAAAAAAAAAAAAAAAAAAAAAAAAAAAACAAAGTCTATTATGCAAATTGATGCTTAAACAATTACAAACACTAGATTGACAGGACTTTTTGTTTGACTTTATGGACTATTTTCTGGCATGTAATCCTTTCATTACCAATATAGTTAAGTGACCTCATAGAAAATGACTGCATCATCTGGTGTTTGTTGCCCAGAAAATATAGTCTTTGATTAGCTGCATTCATCTAAATTCATATTAATGTTGCATTCTCCCCCTGAAATATGGAACATTGTCTTATTGAAATTTTATTTTGTAATTGTCTGCTGTGACTTCTGGAAAACATTACTTATATATTTTGGAAAAAAAATATATCTATTACTTAGCTTCCATATAAGTAAATAAGTAATCTGCTTCCTAAAAAGTAGTTTTACTCACCAAACATCACTAATTTTCTTTTCAATTTAACAGGAGTTAAATTTTCAAGACTGTCTCCTCTTCAAATTTCTGATTTCCAACCACACATGGGTTCTGAGCAATTTGGCAATCCTAAGTCCCCTTGTCTTTCCTCCCAAGGGAACATTCCAAATACTTAAAATTCCCCTCAATCCCTTAATTGCTTCCATCATCTCCACCTATTTGAGGTAAGTGGTCTTGCCTCCAAGATCACAGGGAAAAATAGCAGCTGTTGGTTGGATAGTTCTTTATCATCCTGTTTCTCAATTCTAAATATAGCTAATTTCTTCTGTCCAGAGCTAACCCCCCCAGCCTCTGTACTTCATTCTATCACCTCCACATCTTCCTGGAACTTATTCAATCATTTATACCTTCAATAACTTCTCTATTGACTGCTTTTTCTTAATGTGTAAACATACTCCAATCTCTCTTCTCTTAAAAACCTTTTTTCTATTTATTAGCCATTTCTTACTCCTAATCAAAAGACTTAATGGGCGGGGTACCCTCAATTCTAATGAATAGCATAATAATAGTGAGCAACAATATATTTAACTCTTTCAACCTTCACAGCAACTCTATGAGATAAACAGTTGTTAGCTCCATTTTTTGAAAGAGGAAACTGAGGCACAGAGAGGTAAAGTTCACCAAGAGTCACATCTCTAAGAAATGACAGGTGGAAAACCAGGTACCAGACCCTGAGTTCTTTCTCACTACCACACACTACATACTTTGGATGAATGCATTTACTCACATGACTTTGACTGTTAGTTATATGCTGATGATCCCGACCATCAATTGATCTAGTCTTGATTTCTGCCTATTTAGTGTCACACTCTACTATTTTGAGGTATCTTAAATTCAAGATATTTGGAAGACCTAGCCTCTGTCTCTCCTTTCCCTAAGCCTCCTCTGTGATTCTACAAAATACCAATCTACTCATCTTGCCTCTTCACTCTGACCTTCAGTGATGCTCTGTCATGGACAGAATGGGATCTCCAAACTCCTCAGCAGGGCACACGAGGCTCCTCACAACCTGCTCCCAAATTACCTTCTCACTCCCTGCCATTACACACACATATCCTCTAATCACACCACACTTTGAGAAGTATGTGCCACACTCTGCCCCATCCCACACTCCACTTAGATTATTCTCTAAATTTAAGGAAGTCATTTTTCATCTTCTCCTCTTGATGGATTATCTGTACCTATCAGTATTTCCCCAACTGCTCATCATGCTCCTACCCCCGGTAAAAACTAATTTCTCTCGATTACTTCTATATTCCCACAACATTTGCTTAAAAAAAAAAAATCACAATATATATTGTACTGTCATTAGTAATCTAGACTATGAGCTCTTGGAGAGCTGGGACATTCTCTTATTGATATTTGTCTCAGTACCCAGAACAGAGCAATCACTCAGAACACGTTTGATGAATGAATAGATGAAGCTCTTCTTTAATATTCAAAATCAATTCCCTGGACATAGGAAGATAAATGAATACATCATAGAATACATCATAATCTTAATTAATCACTGTTTATCTTATAAATGCCTAAAAACTTATTAACATGCTGAGGATATTTTTGTTTAAATAGTAATATAGATAATAAAATACATGAAGACAAAAATAAGAAACATTAGGCCTGTCTCCAAGCCATAAGATTTGATGGTGAAGAGCCATCAATTTATAAATATTACAAAGTATCCCCATGAACCAAACACTGAGGTGTTCATCTCAACATTTTTCCCTGCTGCACTAATTTGTATAAAATATTTTGGCACTGGCATGACAGAGCCATGGCATTTACCAAATGATTTATTAAATTACATTTATAAATCACAAAGGCTCAGCTTATGAACTCAAATAAATATGAGTGTGAAGTGGATTGAAACTGTCTGAGACTTAAGTGTAGGAAACACATTGCTTAGCTTTGTCTGTGAGAGTAAAGGTAAACTACATTAATTAAATCTTTAAGAAAAATTCAAATAGAAAGCAGTGTGATTTCCACTGTTATTTATGGTTGTTTCCTTTGCAGGAATTTCTTCTTAATTCTATTGAGAAAACAAATGTAAACATTACAAAATAAGGTGATGAGAAGAATGCAAAGCAGCACAGAACAGAGAAATGATAAAATACCCAAGCAGTTTGGTTACTTGAGCTCCAATGTAGTTGATTATATGTGTCTCCTTTTCTTAAAAACCATGAGTACCTCACTGAAATTTCTTTCCTAACTTATATTGAATCCTAATATCAACATTCCTTGAATGCAGTTAATAATGTGAGCGATCTTGAGTGAGTCTGATCCTGAAGTTACTGCCTTGCTTATACACTAAGCTTGGGCTGGTCTGAAGTTCAGAGTTCAAAATAATTCAACTTTTAATACATGTAATGAAAAATTACACCTCACTCAGTCATCAGAAGGTAAAAGCAACATTAATATTGCAGTTGTAGACTAAACAAAAGCAGTCGTCAGTCATTAAAACTATTACTGTTTTTCTAAGCTCAAACAGGAAAAGCATTTTGAAAATAAAGAACTTGTTAAAGAAGCCCTTTAAACTACTGCTGGAACTCAGCATTTTTGTCTTCTATGTGGAACTCTGGCCAAAAATTTAATAGCAATTCTTTCTTAATTTTGTTAGTGTTTTAAAATTATATACTCTACAGAGAATAACTGATGTTTAGCATCTCAAAGTTCATTATTGAAACCCTAGTATGACAAGCTCAAGACACAAAAGGAAAAATAAAACTTTGGTTAAGGACAACTTATCATGTGCGCTTTACTTTTCTTCCTTTATCACCAAGTTTATATTTTATTTAGGACCCAAGACCTAAAAATAAAATAAATTAATAATGACAAATTAACAATAATTTAATAGTAAGTCACCAAAATACTGGGATAACAACAAATCTCTAGGAATGCTTAAACAAATTCTGGAGCTTGAAAAAGAGTTATACATGCTTTCCTGCATTAACAAAAGGGCAGGTAATAATGATGGCTTGTGTGACAATATTGTCTTTGTTAGTTTAGCCCAACAGAACTAAAGATTTCCTGATTACAACTCTGTAATCTAAGTCAACTGAAAAGATTTCTGGGGAAGGGAACAAAGAGGAGTCTGCTAGCATTAAGTGGAATATATTACTTAAGTTTACTCTTCAGTGTGGGGCGCTGTAAATAAGAGGCTCCAGCTTCTACAGTCCATGCTAGGTCACGACCTGAACTCACGGTACTGCTGTAAAAGAGAAAGTTGTGGTGGAGTCTCAGATCTGCATGCTTCTCTGCTTCACCTTCAGGATCCTGTAATCACATAGGGCCTTACAATGAAGTGTTCACTCTCTACTGTATCTCATTGTCAAGATTTTTAAACAGTTGCTTTTTTATTGTAATGAGCCAATTATGAGCCAGTCACTCAAGCAGTCATTAACAATAGATTTTTTTAATTGCATTTTTAATGAATTTTATTTTGGATAAAAGCCCTTAAAAGTACCTATGGCAAAGGGTAATCATACATTGAATTAACAGCAAAATCTGTTTAATAATGACTTGTCTTTTATTTACTACAACAAAATAAATTCCAGTGAGAACGCTAAAAAATTGACAGTGTGGGGGAAAAAAAGATGGGGGGGGGGCCAGAGAGTTATACCCTATGCTGCTAAAAATATTAAAATGAAAACAAGCTTTTTTGCACTTAGTTATCCCCTATTCTTTCCTAATTTTAACAGACAAATTAGCATTATATTATGAACATAGACCTAGCGCTACATTTAGAAAATAATCTTTCATATTTTATCCATAAGTGATTAATAATGCTTAATTATAAAGCAAGCAAAACTGAAAAGAGAAAAAGTGAATTTAGTGTACTCATTTCTAAAGATGAATATACAAGATGTCATTTTTAAAAAACGTTGTTTAAACAAAACACTACAGTGTAAGAATCTTCATTCGCCTCAAAATACTTTCTATGTATGTATGAATGGAAACGTCATTACTGAAGATAAAAAATAATCTTAATGAAAACTTGTATGAGCATAGTTTGTGATCAGCCAGATACAGAAACAATTCTTTTTAAGTTGACCTTGCTGAGGCCTCATAAATCTTAATCATAATTACGAGTGTAGTGTGATTTAATAAATCATTAATTAGAAACTACAACGGATGCACACGGACACAAGAAAAATTCTTTTTGAGAGCTATCCATGTTGTGCTCTGTTGGGTTTTAAAGTTTTTAATCCACTAAAAATCGCTCACTTGTGCAAAGAGAGAAAATATACATGCACATATATATTATATTTGCATATATTATGTATGTATATGTGTGTTTCTGTGTGTGCGTGCCTATAAGCAAAACTATCCTCAGGAAAAGTGTCACTACACACTCTAATTTTGTTAAGGAGAAAAACTTTTTGAATGTTCAAGGTTTTAAAAACCTTGTATTTTCTCAAGAACGGGTTGACTGAAAGCACAAGGCGCTGCAGTCTCTGGTTAATTAATCTGCCGGCTGAATGACAACGCGCCTAGGGGCATGGCGCTGGCATCCCACACAGGGTCCCAACGTGCTTTAAGCCTTGGATAGCAACATTCTGCACGCCAAGACTTTGCCCAACAAATAGCAGAGGGGCCTTCAGAGCTTTCCTTCTGTCTGAGACATTCCATTTAATTAATCCCTCTTTATTTTAAAGTTTTAATAAATTTCAAAGGTGAGGCAAAATCACATCCCTCCATTGAAGGCAGTAACTAGTTGCTTTAACACTTCTCATGTACCCAAAAGGTTTCTTTACAGGCGTAAAGAAAATGAAAGCAAAAAAAAAAAAAAATATATTGTAACACATTCAGAATTTTTCAAACATGCTACTTGAGCTATTACAAAAAAACATATTTGCACTATCCAATGTTTAAGAATTCAATTAAATAAAGCTGGCAATTTCCATTTCACTGGGCTTAAAGATTTTTATGTTAAAAAATATAAATCCTACACCCACCTCAAAACACTTTGAAAATTACTAATACCTAATCTTGAGCATGGTAAGGCTTTTTTTTTTTTAAGCAACAGGATACAAAGGACATTCTCCTAATCCCTTTTACTGCCAGAACAAAACATCTTTCAAATCAAGATAAAATCGCTACATCATGAATGTTAATATCATTCTGAGAAAAATAATACCTTATGACTAGAAAAGACCATCCCTTTAGGGAGAAATGTTGTGTTAAAGTGGATTATTCTTTTAGTAGTGTAATAGAATGGTTTCTACCTAGTCCCAGATGGAAAATCAAAATCTGCATTTAAATGGAAATATTTTAAAACAGATAGGACAAAAGGCTAAAACCATAAGGAATACCTCCTTCCTTACATTTTAAAAATCCAAAATGCTTCATGAAAACTTTTCTGGAAGATTGGACTTTAAGATTTTGTTTCTATCTTTGCTTCATTTTTATGAGGAGCTTGCAATGCAACATAAAATCACAGTTTTGTGATTAACACATATACTGTATGTGCCCATTATATCAAATTCATAAATAGGATCAAGAAGTTGGGTTGCAAAATTTTTACTACTACAAGAAATTGATTTATGGTTTGGGCTTATATAGAGTTAAGAATGAGTCCTCTCTTATTTTTAACCAGGCTGTTTTATATGTAATTCTTAGAAGGCAATAGCAGTTTGTTGAAATCAAATAAAATCTGAGTTTCCTCCGCATTAACTCCAATCACCACCATGGTTAGAGTAAAAAGAAAACAAAATGTTAGGCAATATTATAACAACTGCTCTTGGCGACCTGAAAGATTATTTTCAGTTCTTCCACACTTGGGGCAATTTTCTTAAGTCCTGAAGGAGCCTGACAGCACTGCACATTTCTTAATGCTTGCATTTACTTTTACATTATAAAACAATAAAACAGCAGGATAATGTTCATGCAGTTTAGCGACTTATAACATTATCACAAATAATTCTACTGTATGATGGCAAAACATAAGCTTTTTAAATGTAGAATGACTAAAAAAAGGGCAATTGATATTCACTGAAAATACACAGACAAATCAGACTGGAAATATAACTTAAATGTTGTAGCTAGTTCTAAATAATGTCTGAAAATGCAAAATCTTACTGGATGATATTTTTTGGGTCATAAATTAAAATACAATTAACTTTCAAAAACTGTTGATTGGCCTTCTCACCTGTCTTTACAGTATGTGACTCCTGCCCCCTCAGGAACCAACCACATTAGGTAATTTGAATATTTTCCCTCAACAACGTTGTAAAGCCTAAAGATACAGGAGTTTTGATAATGGTCACATTTGATTACTGGACTACAAATAATGTGCCAACCTGCAGAAACTGACTATATTATCTCCTTTCAAATGGTAGTCCATCTCTTGATCCCTCTGCTGCAGATTCTAATATGATGCTGTTGCTAGAAGCTGCCTATTTCTGTACAGAAAAATGCGTGGCTCTCTTTATTTAAAAGACATAAAATACATCTTGTTTGTAAACAAAAAGCACATCTTATTTAAAAACTTATTATAAAGCATCTTATTTAAAGCATAAAAGTTCACTCATGTATACGTATTGGGTGATTTTCTCATTTTCAACAGGTAGTTCATACTAATCCAGTTGTCCATGATTCTCTTAGTGCTAGTCATAGAGATGAGAAAGAATAAACGCAATACTTTCCTTAATCTCATTCACATTTATACCAGAGGCTCCATACCTGCTCCCAATTCATGACCCCTTTGACTCACTTCCAAAACTCTTCAGCAGAAAGTTTTTCAACTATGAATGAGAGATGATATACCATAAAATCCAATCACCAAAAATTAAACCCTGATATATGTCAGCATTAGTCTATACCAAGTATCAAATTAAATTAGGAAATCAATACGTGGGCCCATCACAGAAGATCCAAAGCTCACGTATCTTTTTAATCACCATGCTTTACAAGTGCCTAAATTAGAGAATGACAGAAACATGACAAATTCTGTTTTAAGAGAAAATGTACTTTGTCATCCTTGTCGGTATTAGACACTTATAACTAATGCTAACTTTTAAACTCAAATACTCCTGTTCTAAATAAATGGTGATCTCAGCAGAGAACCGTAGAGTAAAAAATACTTCACGATTAGAGTGTGGCTTCAGACCAGCAGCACTGGCATCACCAACACCTGGGTACATGCTGTCAAATCTCAGGCTCCACCCAGACCAACTGAACAAGAACCAGAATCTTTAATAAGGTCTCCATCTGCATGTTAAAGTTTGAGAAGCTCAGGTCTAAGAACTTTTAAGATTTTCAAATTTCGCCATTTATTCTTCATTAAGAGACAAAACAGTGAAGAACAGAACAGCTTGTACTCATAAAAGCACATAAATATTACAGATGATCATAATTAAAATAATGAAAGAGAAAATGTAAAAAAGACTGAGGCAATTAAATTGTATCTAGAGCCTGCATCTTGGCTTTTAACATTTGAAAATTCACTTCTATGTGTATATGTACATGCAGATTCATTTGAGAGATGAAGAAGGGAAAAAAGCTAAAATGAGAGAGGAAAAAGAATAGAGAATAGAACTGAGAGAGGAAAAAAACAGAAGAGAACTGTGAAAAGTATATATAGTGTGTATATAGAGTTGTGTTTAGAGCTGAAAAGTATAACAAAGTGAGACTCCAACAGCCTGGGGAAGAGCAGCAATGCCCTTTCGATTAACACTCCCTCTCACACACAAGATCAAGCCAGGATGGTGGGAACCTTTTTAATATCCCTAACAAGAAACTACCAAGAAATAAGCACTTAAAAGCAAAAACATCACAGGAGCCAGTACTTCCCAGTTCATTAAACAATACAAATAAACACAGAATTAGTTCTGACAAAGCAGAGACCAGCAGCAAAGCACAAATTTTGTTGTAATACTCAATGATGATGTAATATTCTTTTTCCAAATTCTAAATCATTTAATAATAATTATCATAAAACTGTTTTATTCTTACAAATGAACTTATTATTCTAAGTTCATTAACTAAATTCAAAATAGTAGTACAATAGTTTTGTTTTTAGTGACATAATAAAAATAGCTAACATTAATAGCGCAAGTTTGTTATTAAAAAAAGATGTTTTCTATTTTCTATGGGGTCTTGGTGGACATGAAGTAATGGCTTAAACTTGCAGTAATAATCTGTAGAGCATGAAATGTACCCAAAATATTACATTTGGCATTAAAAAATATATACCAAAGAGATCAATCTACTATGATTAATCCAACATTCTATCATTTATTTAAAGAGATGAAATTAAAAATTATTTCTAAATA